GAGTGAGAAGTGGACGGAAGGAGAAGCAAGGGAATGGATAATAAGATGGGAGGAGAGAGTGAGGAGGGTGAGAGAGGTATGAAGGGTAATGGAAAAGAGGAGGAGAGTGGGAGGTAGGGTGAGAGGGGAGATGGTACTTGGAGAGAGAAGTAAGTGGGGTGAGAGGAGAGTTAAGGTGAAAGAGGGCGGTAGAATGGGAGAGGTTGGAGGACGAGAAACGGGAAAAGGGTGGGTGTTGAGGGAGGGAAGGTGAGACAGGAGGGAGGGTGTGGGAGTGGGGGGAAGGAGGAAGGTGAGACAGGAGGGAGGGTGTGGGAGTGGAGGGAAGGAGGAAGGTGAGGGAGGTGAGAGAGGGGCTGAGGGGGGGAGGGGAGAGGTTAGGGAGGGAGGTGACAGTGATGGAAGGAGGAGAGTTATTTTAGGGAGAGATGTGATGTTGTCCAAGTCGTCGGTGTGTCGCGCCTCCCTTGTCTTACCTGGTGTAGGACGGAGAGAGTATGGTGTATAGTGTATGGTGTATAGTGTATGGTGTATTATATATCGTGTATCATGTATAGTGTATCATGTATAATGTATCTGTTATGGTGTCATGTATATCATGTATAGTGTATAATAATAATAATGATCATAATAATAATTACGGTTTATTGAAAGAGCATGGCAGACGGAAGGCTGAAAATATACAGTTACATAATTGGGGAATGGGTCTGTTGATTTACAAATAATATACAAGTAACATAAGTGATACAAATATGATATATAATAACTAGGTGGGGAGACTGTCATACTACAGGGCATTTCAACATAGTGACAGTGCAAAAAGTAAGATTGACTGGGAGTGAATACACTGGTTGATTACAAGTTATTGATAATTTTTTCAATGGTTGGGACTGGGCTGTTCTTAAAGCGATCAGTTCGTGCTCATATGGGCTAGTTGCGGTTGTGGTGTCGAACAGCAATTCTCGTACGAGGGATCTCGGGTGGTAGTAGGAGTCGGTGTCGAGGATGGTGCAGAAGCTTCTCACCAAATTTACAGATGAGGTCGTGGTGATGGTCAGAGAGAGCCGAGAGGGTCAGTGTGTTGAGCGCTTCTTGATATGTGGAGTAGGAAGGGGAGAGAATAATATTGCATGCCCTCTTTTGCACTTTTTCTTGGTGTTTACGTTGTGTGGCATTTAGGGAGGAAGACCAGGTAGGGGATGCACAGGCGAGCTTGGGAAGTATGAATGTTGAGTAAACACTGAGGAGCTCGTGTGCAGGAACTCCGAGGGACTTGAGTCGGCGGAGGAGGTGGAGACGGAAACTGGAGGATTTGACAACTTCACTGACGTATGGTTTTCAATTTAGTTTGTTGTCTATGGTGACGCCGAGGAGCTTAGTGGAGTCTACAACCTGGAGTGTGTTGGGACCTAAAGTAATGGAAGGAGGTGGGACAACGTCGGAGGAGAGTTTGATGTGCATAACCATGGTCTTGGTATGGTTGATGGTGACATGGTTGTTGGTGGCCCAGTTTTCGAGACTGTTCAATAAATTATGAAGGGCTGTATAGTATGGTGTATAGTGTATCGTGTATAGTGTATCATGTATGGTGTATCATGTATGGTGTATCATGTATAGTGTATCATGTATGGTGTATCATGTGTCATGTATGGTGTATCATGTATACTGTAATGTGTCATTTATGTTGTATCATGTATGGTGTATCATGTATAGTGTATCATGTATATGGTGTATAGTGTATCATGTATGGTATATCATGTATGGTGTATCATGTATAGTGTATCATGTATGGTGTATCATGGTGTATAGTGTATCATGTATGGTGTATAGTGTATCATGTATGGTGTATAGTGTATCATGTATGGTATATCATGTCTGGTGTATCATATTTGGTGTATAGTGTATCATGTATGGTGTACCATGTATAGTGTATCATGTATGGTATATCATGTCTGGTGTATCATATTTGGTGTATAGTGTATCATGTATGGTGTACCATGTATAGTGTATCATGTATGGTGTATCATGTGTCGTGTATAGTGTATGGTGTATCACGTATGGTGTATCATGTGTCGTGCATAGTGTATGGTGTATAGTGTATCATGTATGGTGTATCATGTATAGTGTATGGTGTATCATATATGGTGTATCATGTATGGTGTATCATGTATCATGTATGGTGTATCATGTGTCGTGTATAGTGTATGGTGTATAGTGTATCATGTATGGTGTATCCTCATCAACGACGCTCTATCGGACACTCCTCACAGGTGGAAGTACGTGGATGACTGCACTGTGGGGGTTTCAGTGTTTGACGCCGCACCAGACTACTCATCGCTACAAGGCACCCTGGACAGGCTACAGGCATGGACTACGGAGAACAAGGTCACCATCAACCACACCAATACCGCCACCACTCCAGTGCAAGCCCCAGCAGTCACAGTGGGTGCCCATCCTCTCCAGCTGGTGCAATCTGCCAAACTCCTGGGTGTAACTATAGGCAACAAACTGGACTGGAAGGCCCATGTAAATAACACGGTCAAGGCAGCCTCGTACCGTCTCTACCTGCTACGACGACTTAGGTCACTTGGGACACCCACGCCAGAGCTGAAGACTATCTACAACGCCTTTATTCTCCCCAAACTAACGTATGCGTCACCAGCCTGGTCGTCTTCTCTCAACTCCACCCAACAACGTCGGCAAGAGAAGGTACGGAAAAGGGCCTGCAGAATCATGCTCTGCGCAGAATACTCCGGTTACATCAACGCTCTCTCCACCCTGGAAATGCCATCCCTCAGTGACCTCCATCACCAAGCACTGAAAAGGTTTGGCAGCCAACTAATGCACCACCCTCGTCATCGCCACCTCCTGCCACCTGCAGCCCCCCACCCACCTCGCGCAGTCCGCCACTACAACAAAATTCAGCCCATAAGAGCCCGCACCAACAGATATAAGAACAGCACCATCCCATCTATTGTTAAAATAATAAACAACTCCTGATTTATGTACTGTACAGCCCTGTAAATGTATTCAATGCATATTATATCATTATGTCTAAATCAAATGTAAGTCTGTATATTTTCAGCCACCGGCTGCAACTCTATTAATAAACCGTTTATTATTATTATTATTATTATTATTATTATTTATGTGTCGTGTATAGTGTATGGTGTATCATGTGTCGTGTATAGTGTATGGTGTATCGTGTATGGTGTTTAGTGTATCATGTATGTTGTATCATGTATGGTGTAGCATGTATGGTGTATCATGTGTAGTGGTATCATGTATAGTGTATCATGTATAGTGCATCATGTATGGTGTATCATGTAAAGCGTATCACGCATAGTGTAGTGTAAACACTGGAGCAGGTTCAGGTACATTCAGGAGCCGGTGCATGCCCTGTACTTGCCAACAGTGCGTAATAGAGACGTTACCGATCACCCAAGCGGCTAACGAGCCGATCACTGGTGAAGAGGATAAAAGAAAAAGAAAAGATCCTGGAGCGTGGTGGCAATATCGACAATATACACCTGGACTTTGCCATGACTTCGACAGCGTACCCCATGAAAGGCAGAAAATTAAACAGGACGGATATGGAATTAGAAGGAGCGTTGTAGAGTGGATCAGAGACTTTCTTCATGACCACATCCAGTGTGTGATTATTAATGGGACAAAATCGCCATGTGTACCTGTGACTAGCGGGGTACCACAGAGCAGTGTACTGGGTCCGTTGTTGTTTGTTTCATAACTGACATGCCAGAAGCTATACAGTCCTCCATACAAATGTTAGCGGATGATGCCAAGATATACAGGGAAATTAAAAACCAAAAGGACTGTGAAGAGCAATAGAAAGATCTATGTCAGCTTCAAGAATGTTCAAAGGAATGGCTGTTAAGATTCAATGTCACGAAGTGTAAGAGAATGCACATACGTCGTATCAATAGCAAGGAGGTGTATCACATGTCTCAACTGGAAGAAGAAACAGCATTAACGGAGACCAAATGCGAAAAGGACCTGGGTGTGCATGTTGACAACAAACTGAAGTTCACGAACCATTTTGAGAAGAAGGTAAATCTAGCAACTAAGCTAGTGAGTCTTATAAGAAGGGCGCTCCGATAACTAGATGGTGCCTAGTATATTATCCTTGGATGGTGCGTCCTTCATAACGCTCTTCAAAAGTGAGGACGCCCACCCCACAAGGGGTCGCAGCTCAAGGTTGAAGAAGCCGCAAGTCCTGAAAACAGTGAGGACAGTAAAGTTGGTACCTGTTGTAAATCAAAAGATGCGAATTCGTATTCAGGGAAAGTTGTTGGAGCTTCCAATAACTTGATGACATAAAACCATTGACTCTTCAGGCTTCTACGCCCTTAACTCATGAGACATAAAGGCAAGCATGAACTTAGCATGCTTCCCTGTTGGGCGCTGTAAACGCTTCTGCGCTTCACCTTACACAAGGATGTAGGGGGAGGGCCCAATAAAAAAAAAGTGAAGACAAACTTTTTCCTGATGAAAGTTGTGAACTCGTGGAACAACCTGCCAGAGAGTGGTGTGACGGCACCGAGTGTGAGCTCTTTTAAGACCAGACTTGACCAACACTGGAACAAGTTCAGATACATTCAGGAGCCAGATGCCCAATACTTGCCAACATTGCGTAATGGAGACATGACCGATGACTCAAGTGGCTAACAAGCCGATCAGTGGTGAAGAGGACAAAAGTATAAAAAATAAAAGATTTCTGAGGGACTCCCCAGGTTTAAATTTGACCCTGAAATATATGGATATAAGTTGATAGATAGATAGATAGGAAAAATACGTAATTATCTTTGGTCCGTATGTATAAATCTCATCACTGAGTATAATCAACTATCTTATTAAATTATTTATTTCTTTACAATATGCTGAGTATCACATATTTCGAATGATTTTACTGAAAAACACAAAAAATAATAAAATTTTCATGCAGGCAAGAATTTTGTATCAGACATTCAGAGTCTAAGCGACCAATGGAAGACTAAGTGGATTGAGGTTGGAATATGGTGAATTTCGTCTTATTTTGCGAATATGTTAAAGAAAATACGGGACAAAATTACAGAGGAGGTGCAACAGACATCGTTAAGACTCCCAGTATCTGTTCAGCAGTCTGTACAGCAGTTAACACAGGTAGACAAGTGTTGCAATGCTCAAATATGTCTAGCCCTTGTAGCCTGTGTTATTGTTTATATTTTGACAGCTGGTAAAATTCACACCTACTTATGGTAAATTCTCTTTCAAGATGGTTAATACAAGACCGAATAGTTAAGAGTGGAATAGAGATATTAAAGGATAAAATATGGAATTATATCTGTGTTAGGAGGTAGTTTGTGTTATAAGTTACGTGGGAAAGTGACCCAGTCTTGAGGTGATGATGACCTGGTTCCCATTCATGTATAGGGAGTTATATGGTGACATAATTTTTTCAGGTGGTGTGTTTATAAAGTGTCACAGTTGATAGGGCAAATAAAGCAATATATAGATTTAGTTTCTTACCATAACATGAAATAATATTGTCCTACTAAATTACCCTTTATGAACCCTAACGTTCATATTTTTTCATAAAATATTGTGTAAAATTCAAGGGTAAAGTTGAAGAAGACAGTTAGCACCAGAAGAACTATGTGGAATTGCACCAAATTTTCAAGAGTTGTTTGGTTGATACTAAACACGAAAATCGAAACGACAATACACATAACCTACAGTATTAGAATCTGACCTAATCTGACCTAATCTGACCTAACCTTATCACTTAACCAAGCTAACTTTACCTAATCTCCTCCTCCTCTTCCAAGTGTTCAAGCTGGTCTTTAGTAACAAGAGTTGACTTCTTGAGGGTGTCAAACTAGAAATGAAAGATTAATCCTAAAATCTTATATTCTTGCTTAACCTATAGCCAGGTAGTTCAGACATCCTCCTAATCCCTTGTATTCATGGTAAGTCATGTAAGTCATCTAGAAACTAAAACAAATAGGTAGATTTGCCATGAAATCAAAATGTTTGCTTGTATTGGTAGCACAAGTAGTACTGACAAGGCAACTTGACTTTAATTAGACCTCCTGACTCCAGAGGGAAGCCAGCCTTTGTTCCTAAACTCTCTCGTCTGAGGGTAATGCTTGTAATAGGCAATTGTAAAATCAGCCCCAACTGTCAAATGAGAGCAAACCTTAATGACCAAGCCAATAAAAGGGGTTAACACAGTAACAAGAGCTGTCTAGCAATGGACTAGTGGACTTTTAAAAATAGGATCTCTTTATCAGTTCTCCATATACAGTACAGTACTGTATTATTGAGAATGGAGTGAAAGACTTGACTCTCCTCCCTCTTCCTGGAGTTAAGAAAAGAAAGCAGCCAGAGAAGTGAAGGGACCATGGCCCATTTGAGGGAAGAAAGGAGTGTGTATAAGTGCATTCATCTATGAATCATCAACTATTCTTCCTTGAACAACAGTAATTGCTGTTTTGTAGGACCCAATGTAAGACTTGATTATGGCTGCAACAGTGGCTGTTTTGACAACCTTTTGCTATTTTATCCACCATGACAGGATGGGCTCTGTTACAAAATATTAACAAGCATTCTGAACTGTAAGATGTTCTCTTGATTCTTGATCGTAAAATGGGTTTTCAGGATTCTGTCTCCCAGAGATTTTTCTTTTAATATGAGGCCATGTTTCCAAATATTACATTGAGCCATCTAACCCTGAAGTATTGTATGAGAAGTACTCACTGATGTTATAAGAAGTATTTAAAGATCAATTTTTTATTGTGTTTTGTATTGTGTTACTGAAATAGAAACATGCAAGCAGGCAGGACTTACCCAAGCGTCACCCACTAAAGCTTACTCACTTACTTTACAGAAGTCAGCTACGGATCAGTGGCTTGAGGCCGTTAATGAGGGAAGCCAATTGAATGTAAGATTGTCATGTTGATGAGGTTACAGGTTGCAAGGCTTTGGGTGATATACGTAACAGTAGTTGTTGCTGTGGATGGGAGCAATTTGAGCATAAATGAATAATGGTCTGCTGTTTGGACCACTTTATTCTTAAATAAAAGAACCACAAAATTCATTGTAATACTGTGCTTAATTTCAAAATGCTGTAATTCCTATATTATTCATTTTAATCATAATGTAGTATGTTTTGATAATAATATTGTGCTATATTATATGCAACAGAAATTAAAGATTGGATCATTGTGGACAGTGTGACCAGTGTTGTGCTCAGAAACCATCCACACAAGTTAGTAAAGATATTAACTCACCTTCTGCAGCAACCATCTCACTTTGCCTCTGCTTTATTGTCTCCCTTCATCTGCTCACATGTCTATGGCCCATTCTGTGTTGCATACATTCTGCCTGAAACATAATTGGTAAATTTTTCCTGTTATATAATAGAAAATCATCTGGTCTGTTAATTCCTTGTATAGAATGGGTGTTTATATTGGTAAAAGCTATAAACTTTCGCTTTCTCAGGTATATTGATGATCTGAAAATTACTTCCTTATTGGGTTGATTTCTAACATTACTTCTACACGGTGATTGGGATGAACTTAAACTCTTCACAGATTGTTACCAAAATCTTTAATTTCCTTAGTTTTGGTTAATGTAAATACTGGTCAACCAGGGCCATCCAGTTGATTTTGATTTTCAGGACCAGGACTGTTATCATCCAGGCTACAGCTGACCTAAACCTTGAATATTGTGGAGCAGATCAAGTAGAGTGTGGAGGATCCAGAAGATGGTTAACTTCTCTAATATTTCAGATCGATGTCATTATGATCACTAATATCGATGTCATTATGATCACTAATACAGTTTCTGGGATATGCTAATCAAGCTTAATATTGTATATATGTATTCCTTGGTTATCACTATTGATACTGTATGTCCCTAAAGAATATCTTGCTATGTAGAGTGTGAGATACAAGTGTTGACCGCAATACAATGGATCTACAGTACAGTATATACGATGGATCAGTTTACAATGATGAGCACCATTTACTGCTATGTGATGGTTAAGATAAGTTTTACGATGGTCGCGGCCTCTGAGGTTTGTTTACAAAACCTAATAAATACTAACAAAGTTATTTTATAAGATATTCTTATTAATTTCCTTATCTTAACTATTGCATACTGTGTTATGAATTTATGTGTGACAAGGACATGTATATAAAGACAGCTATTGACTCTGCTTCCTGAGAGACATTCAGTGAAATTGTTAATATTCTGTACTTCTCAAAGTACAGTATAGTACAAAGAGATATACAGTACATACATAAAATATAATTTGCAACTTGTATGAGATTGCATATTTTCATAAGATGGAATGCACACACACACACACACCATTCCCCAAATATGTAACTGTATATTTTCAGCCTTCTGGCTGCCAAGCTCTTTCAATACACCGTTAATTATTATTATTACACACACACACACACACACACACATACATATATACATATATATATATATATATATATATATATATATATATATATATATATATATATATATATATATATATATATATATATATATATATATATATATATATATATATATATTATTAATTTTTTATATAGCAGGACTGTGCAGATTATATGGATCATTTATTCGTCTTGGGCAAGTGACTTCTGAAATATACTTGCCTGAATATTTTTTTTTTACTTGCCCAGACAAATTTTTTGGAGGAAATTTATTTGCCCAGATTGTTCTATGGGAAAAGTTACATAATCATCTTAAAACAGTCAAATTTATGATGTGTATCAACTTAAGGATAACTTGTGTCAGTCTAAATGATGTCGGAGGTGTTAACACTTGTCATGTGATGTCAAAATTCTTTGTCACCTCACCTCACACCTTCAGGGTGTGTGGGGTGGTGGAGGCAGCACCTGTCATTACTCACCTAAACTACCACTCCTCCCCTATAAACTGGTGTCAGTGGCATTAATATTTATCGTGTGATGTCATAACTCTTGTCACCCCACGTATACAGCCTGTCAGCTCGGTGGTTCCTTTGAAATGCTGACAAGTTGACCGACTGATTAGAGGCTGCTTGGTGGCTTAATGTAGAGATAAATTACTTGCACCTGACATAGGTCACTAATCCTGGTACACCGATGACCTCCCTGGTAAAACATGGATGGTGAGGTGGGATTAATCAGAGTCTAACAAACTCCCGTCTAGGTACAGTATTGTATTTACTTCCCAAAATATTGGCTTTTCACCAGGCTGCCGACCAGGCTGCTGAGCACTGCTATCTGCACAGCCTGTTTCATATACTGTACAGTGTCAAGTTTTTCCAGCATATAGTGTACAGTCATCCCCTGACATTTGAGAGGTTTCCCGGTATGAAGGTAAATTTTCTCAACCTCGGAAAAATCGCACATCTCCGGAAATTTTCTGGGTTACTGTACTGTACTGGGGAAAGTTTTCTGAGAGTAAACTATGCATCTTATGCAGAGTTGTATTGTACAGTATTATTTATACAAACACCACTGTACATGTACAATATACTGTATTGTAAATAAACAATATATACTGTACTACTGTACGTATAGACTATACTGTACACATCAGCAGATGCTGTTGTCTTGAGCGTGTCGTGCAGGCAGGCCAAATGGTGATATGATGTTACAGGAATGCCTGCCTCTATTCTGTACCATCTCCTGTAGCAGGTGTTACTAACTGTCACTCTCCTCTCCCTCCATGAAGGAGGAAGTGTACATGCACTGTATACTGTACATACATCCTCTACACACTAGCCAACAGTAGGCTTGCACTGTCCACTCTGCTATGCACAGTACTGTACATATGGTACTTTAACACTTATTGAATGTACAGTACAGTACAGTATATGTAACTGTAATCACCTTTTGTCGTAAAAATGCTTTAACGATATTGTTGGCTGATTATATGCTGGTACAGTAATTTACAGTACAACACAGATTGTATGCAAAAACAGCAGTGAACGAGTGGACAAGCCTGTACTGTACAATGGCAACAGACAATGAACTGAGAGTGTCATGCAAGAGTTTGAGGATATAGGCTGCAAGATATATCAGCTAGTCATAGACATCCCATGCAGTCACATGACAGTAGTAAGCCAATCGTAGTTCAAGAGCATTCTGAGCTTACCTACCCATGTGCTCTGCAAGCATTCCCACATCGGAAACATGATGTAATATCTCGGAAATTCGTTCGTATATCCAGAATGGAGAGATTTTTTTCGGAATTTCTTGGAATGCTAAGAATATTCCGGGTATTGGAGAGTATACAGTGGGGTATGCTATGACGAATCTAATTGGTTCTAGAACCTTGTTCGTTATAGCATTCGTTTGTTATAGGATTAATCCGTTCCAGGCCCCCAAATACAACCACTTAACACTGAAAAATATAATATAAAATTGTAAAAATTGTAAAAAAGTGCATAAATATGCATCTAAACCCCTGAAATAAAGAATATCATTAATACTTGTAATAATAAAACAATAAATTAGAAAAAATAAATAAAAAAATTTAAATTATGTTCGTTGTAGGAGTTTCGTTCGTTATAGCATTCTCAATTTTATAGGTAAAACCGTTCGTTATAGGAATATTCGTAGTAGGATCCGTTCGTTATAGCATACCCCACTGTACCATGGATTGAAGATTCCAGCTAACGGGAAGATTGCTACCAATAATGCAAACAATTTTCTCACATAAATCAGTGTGATAAGGGAGGATTAGGTTCTAAGCTGGTCAAATTAGGTTCATTTGTTGCTTAATATGAAATGAAAAACACTTAAAAATGTACTTATTATGTAAATACTGTTCAGCAACAAATAAAAAATCTTATTATTACAGTATATTAAATATACAGTATACTGTACAGTACATTAATAAATAAAACTTACTGGTATATGATAACAGTACAGTACTCAATGTTCATTCATTTTGCAGTGGAGAAAAACATGCTAAAAATAAGTTTTTAAAGGTTTAATAAATAAATATACAGTGGTCCCTTGGTTAACGAATGCCTCGGTTAACGAAATTTCGGTTAACAAATTACATTCCATAAAAATCTTCATTTCGATTAATGAAAAAAAATTCGGTTAACGAATTCCTTACAAATTCCTCTCAACATGTTTTCGCTTGCTCACCAGCTGGAATATTAGTCCGCCAACACAGTAATCGGTTCTAGGGCTTGAATTCGTTCCCATTTGAGTAAATATCAAGAAGGTTGTACTATCCAATAATTTTACAAGTTTTATATTAAAATTTTAACAATTATTGAACATAATTGAAGTACAGGAAACTAGTTTTTAGCGCGCCAAACAGCCACTTGACTCACCCAGCAGGCGTCAGTTTGTGTCTCTGCTCAGTGGAGGTAACATCTTGCTTGAGACTCTCTTAAACATAAACTATTTTTACATTTTTACAGAACAATTATTGGTCATTCTGAAATTTATTTTACATATTGACAATATATAGTGCAGTGCAGTGTTGATTTAAAGAAAATAATCTTGAATTACACCAAGTGAACTTAAAATTTTATGGGTGAAATGACAGCATGAAGCATGGGGTGATTTCTCTTCCACCCCCACTTCCTTCTCTTTTCCCTTCTCCTCCACCCCCACTTCTAATTCCCATCATCATCATCAACCAGGAGCCTTCTACAAACACACCTCAAAGTAAGTGTACTTTACTGCATTTATTTTTAGTTTGTATGTAATTTTCGGTGAGCTGGAACCAATTACAGTACCCAAAATCCCATTGAAACAATGGTTTCGGTTAACGAACGACCTTCTGGAACGAATTGTGTTCGTTAACTGAGGGACCACTAAAAGAAAGACAGTCATTCAGCTGATAAAAATATAGTTTCCCTTCATGTCGTCTACTAGCAGATTTTTCAAATTATTGTACAGTACATATTAATGCTACAGTATATTGAACATTTTATTACCTCCCATAAATTGTTGAAGGCGTGAATACGAAATATTTTATGGGTACTCGAATAATCCGGGATTATTGTATATGTGTAACTGAATACAGTATGGCATGTGAATAAAAAATAAGCGAATATACGAGTACAAGTACAGTAGTGCAGTACTGTACTGTAGTGGGTGTACGAATAAAGTGGACACCCTGTACTGTACAGTTCTTTGTGGTGATACAAAGGAAATTTCTCCTGGATACATTTGGTGAAGTGTTACCTCACTGGTGAATAGTGTAAAAACAGAATTGTGTTGCATGAATGCATGTTAAACAAGGAATACCTGTACAGTAGGGTATTATAATCCAAGTTCTTGTGATATTTTCATATTCCATGGTTAATTTAAGAGTAACATGGTTGTTGAAGATCTAGTTAACCCAGAACCTATATTAGTGTACAGTACTGTACTGTATAGACTAGGGAATTAATTTTCATGGCTTACCGGCTTACTGGCCTACACTAAATGGCTCAAGTAATGTGTTTATTAAGCCTGCCAAATTTTAGACCCAGGAGATCCAAAGTATTAATGGCTGCATAATACAGTAGCCATTGATAAGATATACTGTACTCTACCTTGTGAACTACAGTATCTTATGATTAATTCTTCCTTCCCATCTTAGCCATTTCTCCTTCAAGTTGAGACCAAGACTGAGATTTATTTATACTGTTTGCTGTACATAAGCCAAATTATTTGGATAATTTCTTTAACTAAAAAATTAGGGTCTAGGTCTGGAAAGTCAGTGTAATCTGTAAACTCTCACATATTCAGTGTTATATATATCTATGTTCACTGCACTAGTTTGCACCACACAATGCACAAAATGTAATGTTGAAATGGTAATGAAGTTCTGGTCCTCACAGTGATAATAGAGCGCACTGAATCACAAACTCACAATCGCAGTAATCAGTGTACAGTACTGTAATGTAATGTGCATGGAGTCGGATACCTCGGTTGATCTTAATTTTTTAACTTTGTTACATGTACATATGATCTTTTATTCAGAATGTGCAAAAATAAAATTAATGGTAAAAAACATAAAGGGAATAAACATTTCTTATGTGGGTGGAACTTATCACAGAGCGAAGTAGATACACGTCTTTTTTTTTTTACTGTTACATTCACACACAATCTTTCATACAGAATGTGAAAACAAATATATATATATATATATATATATATATATATATATATATATATATATATATATATATATATATATATATATATATATATATATATATATATATATATATATATATATATATATATATATATATATACTGTATATATATATATATATATATATATATATATATATGTATATATATATATATATATCAAATGGTCAAAAACATAAAGGAATTAAACCTTTATTATATATGTGGGAGCTAGTACAAGAGAGTGGGGGAGATGGAGTGGTGTTCTCTCATGGTTCTGCTGGCTTGTGTTCTTAGGTAGCTTGAGTCTGAAATCCCCCACCCTCTGGAATTTTCAACCTTGCAATATAGACATTACAGACTCCTGCCCATCCCAGAACTTTGCTTTGGCCAAACAGGACAAGCCCCCCCCCCCCATTAGTCCAGATTTGGCAAAGTTTACTGTATGTGCGTGTGTGTTCTCTTCAAGGTGTACAATACAGTATACTGTATATTGCTACTGATTAATGCTGTCTACAAAATATTATGCTACTGTACTTTATGTTGACCATGAGCTTTTTGGAATATTCTTGATAATTTTTGGGTTGGTGCAGATAAAAAAAAGCTGATTGTCTAATTAATCTCTTGCAGCTATCACCATTCAGTGGGGCAGCAACCTCACCAGGCGAACAGAAGAAAGAATTAGAGACAGGATCACTCCAAGATGAGGTTTGTATAATACAGTACAATAATTCTCCATACCAGATAAAAGATAACTTGATTTTTTCTCCATTACATTATGTGTACTGTACTAATGATATGCTCTGTTGGACCTGAGTAAAGCTTTAACATTTTAGTAAGTGAAGTAATGAAGGTACTGTACTATAACCTCCTTATATTCAGTCAGCTATTGGCCTCCTTCTACCATCAGAGTGGTGAATAAAGAATGTAGATGTGCTTCATATGAAAATTTAAATTTATATGTTATTGGAAAATTGTCTGGATATTGGAAATGATTTTTTTCTGCTTATCAGAGGAGTCCAGTACGTGCATGAAGATGGGGTATGCAAAAAACCTATTCACTGGTCACTATATACAGTATGCACATTTATCTTTTGTTTTACTATGCAAGTTTAAATGGCAATTACTGAAGTACAAGGGGATAATCTTATTTGATATTTGTCTCCTGGCACAGCTGCTGGTGGACATCTCAGATATTAGGCCAGCAGGACACAATAAGGATCTTTTCAGCATTGATGAGGACAGTCGTGAAGGTGAGTCATGGATCATGCTTGTAGTGCGTCCTCGTGTTGTATTACGGATGGAAATCATTTTATGGTAACTAACATCAAGCAGGAATGAAAAGTTTACACTTTTTTATTGAGCCCTGTAGGTCATTCTTGAGATATGTCTTTTATTGTTAAGAAATATTGAGTGGGGGAGGGGAATACAGTAGATGCCCATGACTGATCCATTCTTAGGCAGTTGTTTGTGTGGGATACCTGGCCTTCATTCAGATTATCAGCCACATGAAAAAACTCTACCCCGGGGTGTAGTATTATTGGAGTTGTACTGTATCTTTCATATCATGTTGATCAGTTCCATTACTGTTGCCTGTGTTCAGATCCAGATTTTAGCCTTTCCCTTTGGTAATGGTAAATATTATAGTTAAGAAGAATCATAACTTTGACAAGGAGAAGTCGTGGAAAAAGTTTCCAGTTTTGTGTTTAAACCTTGTTGATTTGGTGTTTGGGAGTAAGGACAACAGTACAACATGTCAGATTTTTGCTAATTGTGATGCTTGTAAACTTATATTAAATGACTTGTCTTTCATTTGAAACTTGTAAGGACAATGATTAATAAAAGTGAAGCTTATGTCAGGGTTCCCAGAAGACTGGATAAAATCTTATCATGGAAATTGTCCTAAAATGAGAAGTCATAGAATCTTGTCTGAGGCAACTATTTACCCGCTGATGAAGATCAGGATTATGGCAGTCTCCCAGTTTGTTGAGTTCTCCAAATCTTGGTTTCACTGTACAGTACATTTTTAGACCTAATTGATTTTCAGAATTCTATTATATTCAGTACAGTAATCATATTCTATGGCATTATGGGAAAGGCTGAAATCCCATTTTGTAGTTGGACCGACTTGGGCAACCCAGGTACCTCTCCCCTCTCTATTAGGGTCCTGAGGTGATTGACTGTGAAATGGTTCTCCGAAGCTGATCACTACAGTTGATAAGTGCATTTGTGTTAGTGTGACAGCAAGATGTGAGGCTTTCAGCCTTTTATATAGGTATTGAATCCATTAAGTCTCTTTTTAAAAACCTGAATATTGTGGAAAAGTAAAAACCTATTTTGAGATTGGTTTTTGTCACATGTCTAGTTCTTGGGAACCAGGAGTTTTAACAATATGGAAAGTATTTCATATTTATTTGACATAATTCCATTTTACTTGTAGACACATAATTACAAGTACAGTACTGCAATTATTATTTTTTCAGGCTCTCCTAGTAAGTCTGGATTCCAGTTAGTGGACTTAAGTGATGCAGAGACCTTCACCCCTGCTGACTCTGGGGGGGGTCCAGGTCACGGGCAAGGAGTGGCTGGGGTGACATTTGACCCTACCATAACAATGAGCAGCAGCCCTACCCATAGAGCCAGACGGGACTCGTCTGGCTCTAGTGTCAGTGATGTTAGTGGCCTCTTCCCCATCTATGAGGTTCCTGGAGTGTCTTTCAATATGCCACAGGTACTGTGTTCATGTGTGTAATGTTCCAGAAGTAAAACAGTTATCTTAGTAGTTATTTAACACCACACCACAAGCATCCCAATAAATACCTGACCATTTTTTTATGTAGCCCATGCTGTACCTCTTATTAACAACAATATTGTATAATGTACTGTATGTGGCAAGTTGTAAGAAAATTTTGAGTGTGTTGTATTAGGATTCTGCTAATGGAACCTTCTTGAACCTTTCTGCTGCTTGACAGAGTGACTTGGAATCATCAAGTGAATGGGAGGACAGCAGCAATACGGCCGTTGTGGACCGACTGAGCAAGGACACCGTTTACCAAGCTTACCTCAAAATGCGACAGCGCTACCACAAGTACAAGGGCCGGTATGATGTGTGGTTGTTCATCTGTTGGTGTGTGTCTAATCTTTTTTTGTTGAGTTTTAATTTAGCGCTTTTCTGGTCATGGCTGTTTAGTTTTTAGAGGTGAACATTGACACTGACTTCTTTACATCACTACAATCTGTTGCTCTCTTGTTTAGAATCTTGCATGAATTGCAGGAGTCTTTTATGTAGTGATGAAACTAATGAGCTGTAATGAAGTCTCCATCCTTTGCTATACATTATTAGCATGAGTCTGCATCCCTGCCTCTTATGTTATACTGGTATGTATCTTAACTTGATCCAGTGGTCAATCAAGCAATACTTGAAATTATCCAAATTTTGGCAAGGCTTCAGTTTAATGATTCAGACTTCTATAACCCCAGATAATATAAGATTCTTTACAAGCCATGTACAAATGGAGATTAAATTTGATAGACCCAGTTATGGAATATACATTCATAAGTTTTAACATGTACATTAAAAAAAAATTTAGCTCCTCATTATCCCGTTATTGTAATGAACAGTCCCTGAGTGGTGGTGGGCAGGTAGGAGGTTCAGGATATTTTGAGTACTGTGCTGTATGTGAGAAGAGATTAAAGGGTCCCACCCAGAGATTAACTTGAAGGTACAGGTATCCCTTGTTTAACACTAAGGATGTTCCTGAAAATCTAACGTTAAGAAAAATTATCGTTAAATGAGGGATGATAAAGTAAAAACAAATGAAGAAAATTACGTATATTTTCCCGAAATTAGGAGTTGAGAAATAACCGCTCAGGGTGCTAAGTCTGGCATCCATCTCTCTCTCTCTCTCACACTGGTTCAGTGAACATCTCCCAACTTCCCAAGCATTCTCTTGTAAAGTTGGTGCTATAAGTGTTTACAATGCAGAATTGTACTGTATATATTATGCTGTAGTGCAGTAGCACCCCATCACCTCTGACACCTACCACCTGGCACCACAAGCTTGAATTATCCTCATCCTTCTCCTGCAGTGCTGGTAAGTGTTCAATTTTGTGTAGGTTTTCTGATTATGGAAGGTCATTGGGACCAAAAGGTTGGGAATTGGGGTGGGATGAAAGACCGGGAGGAAAGTACCTTGATAACTCTGAAAATTTTATAACTCGGAATGGTTAGAGCCCCATGTATTCTGAGTTATCAAGGGTTTACTGTATCCCATCCATCCAACTATCAGCTGGTGAAATCACAGACTCACACTGTCCCAGGCAGGTTGTGGTTGACTGGTGGTGGCACTGGTAGAGGGAGGCCACTCTGGGAGTTTGGGGACAGTAGGAGTTATCTAACTGCACTCATTAAGGCAACTGTACCCATTATTGAAAGGAGTAGAAGGGGGCAACCTATAATGATGAAGGAGGTGGTGGTAATGAGTGAGATTGTGATGAAGAGTTGAGGGAGAGGATGTGCTGGTTACTCATGGTAACTGCTACATGGCCGGGTGTTTGTCATCAGCTGATGTCTACCACCACAATTTATCCTTACAGTATTAATTGTATCAAAACAAATGAATACACAATCTGGTGGCTGGCAAGTGAATTTCCATACAGTATTTGTAAAGTACAGTGTTGTAAAGTACAGTAATCCCGTGTTTTTCGTGGGAATTACGTTCCTGAAACCCCTGCGAAAAGCCACGAATACTCTTTTAGGAATCACTGTACCTGTGGCCACCAAATAGCTCAGGTAGGTCACCATGCCATGCTCTCCACTCACGGTCCAGTGGTCACACTGATCACTGATGCACTGTACCGGCATTTACTAACATCATTATTTGAAACTAATCATATTGTAGTATAATAATGGAAAAACGTAAACACAGTTACCGGTATATACAAAAAATTTTTATTTACAAGTAAATAAAAAATGTTATATTTCGCTGAGGTCGGCAACACCTGCATTGCCAGCCTCTCCCTGCTGTCCCGGCGTCTGCCCGCCCTCACGCAGTCACACCAGCCAGCCAGTCCTCTTCCACCCTCTTTCCTCTACTTGAAGACTTGTATTCTGACAAAAGACACAAATGAATTGTCAGTCTTCACCACAGCTCGAGCCATAGCTCATACCACCTCTGAGCTTGTCCAATAAAACTCTTTCTTCCGTTAAGGTCATCACTATTCTTGATCTCTTGGTAACTTTAGAGTCTTTGCTAGTAATATTTGCCTTTGATGAGGCTGGCGTATGTCCCGGAGCCATGTGGAATGCACGTGGAAGGACAAACAGAAGAGGTAATCACAGTAGCGTTCACAGTACGGTAGGCACTTGTGGACTGTGGCTTCTCGGAGCAGCAGGTGTCTGAGGCGGAAAAGGGTGGCGTCTGTTTGCCGCACCACACAAGGGAATATCGAAAATGGCGCGAAATTTAAAAAAAATTTTTAAAGGATATTTTATATACAGTACAGGTAGTCCCCGACTTAGGACAGACTCGACTTACATCCACCCGCACTTACAACCGCCTCAGTTGTACCAAAATGTGGTAAAATTATGTATTTTTGAGTCCCTAAGTCAGTACACAGACAAAATTTTCATCTGTAATTCACTTTAAAATGGCTGGCAAGCTTAAATGTGACTGTTTTGTGGTGCTGAGAAGAAAAAGAGACCTAAATTTTCGATTTTCTATGTGTTATTTAAGCATTTCTGACTTACGACCATTTCGACTTACGACCTGGATGTCAGTCCCTAACCCCGTCGTAAGTCGGGGAGTACCTGTATATATAATTTTTTCGTAAAAATATTGCGAATGGTGAAAACCGCGATAAAAAAAAGGCAAAATACACGGGATTACTGTACAGGTAGGCTTACTCTTCCGAATGGGAATTTTCATGAGTAAAATGGGTAACTGTAGTTTCCATGCAAAAGGTGTTCTGATACCTTGTTGTTGACTGAAAAAAATAAGTGACCATCAATCATTGTAAACACACAAGTAAGGATATGTACATACATAAACCAGTTGCTCAGAAATGATGCAGCACGAGATATCACCACTTGCATTTTACTTCTAGTACACCATCATGCCAAAGGCTCCTCTTTAGGAATGTGATTTGAATGTTAAGGATAATCTAATTTTAGAAGTTATATTAGATTTTTTGTTCCCAGTTACAGATTTGGGGCCTTGGAGCCTGGAGATCAACCCATGAGACTTACTGGCTTAGCTGAGTTGTTTGATCCCAACTCAATCCTTAAATGGAATGCCAGAAACAATCCATTATATTTAGTATATGAAGTTTGTAGGTTATGTATCTAAGCTACTGTGCCGAGTAGCATTTATATATGTAATCACGTGGCAACACTGCACGTGTTATGTGGCAACATTGCCCCGAGGCTGCCAAATGGCAAGGCAGTCTCAGTCTGACTCTGTGGGCCGTGCATGGCACACGCTAGTCGCCACTTGTATTTCTCCTATCCGTTAATAAATGGACTTCAGTGTTACCCAGTGTTTCCCTACCCATCACTGCCGTCTTCAGGGAACACTTGGAACCTTCATGGCGCAGTGAGTAGGATCTGTGGACTTACAAGTGTGTGAACAATGGACAGTTAGCCGGCGATGTGCTCGTCGACTCTTAGTGTGTTGTGTTGCGTTGCGTTGTGTTTCGCCGCGACGTGCAGTGTTGCGTCGTCACAGTGTGTTTTAGTGACGGTGGCAGTGTTAGTGTCAGTGTATTATTGTGTCTAGAGCTGAGAGTTGAGCATTGGCCTGTCTTTTGTGGTACCCACGGAGCACGCAGGCGTACACCCTTCTCGTGTGACATCCGGGGAGACACTGACGTTCTTGCCTCCACAGCGGCCACCACGAGCTGCTCTCTGACACACACACACACACACACACACACACTCACGGACAGGACAGTGGACTCTATGCGTTATTTCTGCGCTGTTTATGTCATATATATGTGGTTCGAGCTGATGAGGCGCCACTTTACATACTAAACCGCCCAGTTCAAGCATACTAAGATGGGCGGTAAGAAGGGACAACGTCAAGATGGGAGACACGACTCCCCAACACCATCCCCTCCACCGGGCGCAGACTCTCATTCTCCACCTCCAGCGACGGACATTGCCACAATTCTGAGGTGGATGGACGACAAGGACGAGAGACGCAGAGAGATGGAACTTCAAAGGGAGGAGACACGAAGAGAGGAGGAAAAGGCGCGTTTTGATGCACTATTGGCAACCCTGGCGCTAACCCACCCTCCCTCACTCGCAGGTATCGCGCACCAAGGCGCCAGTACCCTCCCTCCTCCACCACACCAGCGTCCTCCAGGCACTCTTGCTACTCCAACAGCTCCCAAGGCATCTGTTCAACCCCCACTCGCCCTCTTACCAGACGTCACGTTTCAGCATTTTCGTGAGTGGAGGCGGCGGTGGACAGATTACTCCACGATGGTGGACCTTGACAGCATGCCTCCAAACAAACAGCTCATCCAACTGCGGATGTGTTTGTCGCTGGAGACCCAGAGAGTTTTGGAGCACACGTTGCAAGTGCCACCTGATTCTACCTCTTCAGTGACGGATGTGCTCGACCTTTTGCAGGAGCACGTTAAGGGTTGGAATAACGAGGCTTTGCGTCGCCGCGCCTTCACCAGCTGCAAGCAGGCGGAGAATGAATCCTTTGACGACTTTTTTGTATGTTTGAAGAGTTTGTCGGAGGAGATCGACGTCTGCAAGGCGCACAGCCGGGAATGTGAGGAAGCCTGGATCAAGCACGGGATCTTGACAGGTGTCAGGCAAGAAGAATTGGTGCAGCGACTCATCCCCCTGGACGCTTCCTCCACACTCCAGGTGGTAGTGACTGAATGTCGGTCATACGAGGCCACCAAGTCCGCCACCTCTGCCTTATGGGCCCCACCTGCTGTGAGACCTATCTCACAGTACAAGAAGGGTAAGAAGGCGGCCAACAACGTGAAGGCTGCCGCACGTTCTTCCTGTGGCAGCTGTGGAAAGCAGCATGACCCCAAGACATGCCCGGCCGCCGACGCACTGTGTCGTGGATGTGACCG